AAATATTGGTCTGAGCTCGAATCATACTTCCATCGTTGGACAACTGCACATGGACACATGCCTGCTCATTTTCAAGTTTTGAAACCAGTTATATCCTCTCGGCTTCATGTCATTCAGAAGCAACGGTCTAAAAAGGTAGTGTCACCTAAATGGGGAACTCTCTCTCTCTCTCCTTCTCCCTTGATGTGCATTCTTCATTAGCTGTGCAGTGCCTCTATGCTGTGTTTTATTTAACCATGCATACTCGTAAGAACACTCTTGTACAGTTTCTCTGTCGATTCCTCCTCGTAACTGTACCGTTAGCTTGAGTCTGCCTCGCCGAGGGGCTCAGTTCAGCTCAATGTGCCTGTATTAAGAGGTGTCTGTAAAACCTTTCCGCTAGTTCTGCACAGTCATATTTCAGATTCCCGCCGTAGAGGCCGCGGTTCTAAGGGAACAGTGGCCTGGCTGTGGTCAGAGTCTGAGCTAGTGTCCGTGTTTGTCCCGCCAGGGCCCAGGCTGTCCCCGGTCCCTTCCTCTTTCTCCTCTTTGTTTGAAAGGGCCACCTCATTCTCATAGCAAAAAGAATTCGAGTTGGATAGGATATATTTTTTCTCAGCAAGGTCCCTCGCGCTGCACAGGGGGGTGCTGGGCACTTCGTAGGTCTTGTGAAAGCGAGAGTAGTCTACTTTGTAATAGTTTTTCTCCTCGAAGAGGACAGGCTCAAATCGGTGTCCCCACAGGATCTCACTGGCCACGTAGGAGCTGCGGCATTGGGTGGTCATAGCCGTGGCCTCCACCATGCCCTCCAGGATAACTACGATTTCAAAGTCAGAGTTCTCCATTTCCTGTTTGCTCATGTCATAGAAAGGGCTGTCCTCGTCGATCTCATGGACGATGGTGATCGGTGACACCAAGAAGATGCGGTCAATACCACTGTCAAACCCCACGTCGATGTCCATCTGGTCTAGAGGGATAAACTCTCCTTCAGCTGTGGTGCGAGATCTAAGGAGTTGAGCTCGAACGTGGGCCTCTACCAGGTGGCTTTTGCGCAAGTTGCCCACCCTCCACATCAGACACAGCTTATTGTCCCTCATGGCCACTGTAGCATTGTGGCTGAACACCAGAGTCTCGTTCCGCTTCTTGGGCTTTGCCATCTTAGCCATGACAGCACCGATGATGAAGGCGTCAATGATGCAGCCGACTATGCTCTGAAATACAACCATGAACACCGCGATGGGGCACTCATCTGTAACATAGCGATAACCGTAGCCGATAGTGGTCTGTGTCTCGATTGAGAAGAGAAAGGCAGCCGTGAAGGTGCTAACGTTGGAGACACACTTGGGCCCGTCGTTATCCAGGTCTCCGTGGAATATTGCAACCAGCCAGAAGATACATCCAAAAAACAGCCACGACAGCAGGAAGGCCAAGCAGAAGATAACGAACATCCATCGCCAGCGAATGTCCACGCACGTGGTGAAGATGTCGGCCAGGTAGCGCTGGCTCTTCTCGCTGACGTTGATGAACTGCACGTTGCAGTGTCCGTCTTTCTTGACAAACCTGCTCTGGGTCTGGTGATGGGTATGGACTTTACCCTTCCCGTTACCGTACCCATTTGGCACCGCAGCAGTGGCCAACTTCATACCGTCCTCCTCTGATGACACGATGCTGTAGCGGTTGGCCCGCACACTTCCCATCACCTCAGTCTGGGAGGTCTGTGCTGTTTCTGCTTTGGAAAACAGTCTTAGTTTCTGGAAAAAGCGTTGGAGAAACAGTTTTGAAACACTCACGGGGACCAACACAAGCAGGAAATGGGTTTGTTCAGAGCCGGACGCAGGAGGCGTCTCTTTGCTCCAGTTGGACCTTTGATTGACAGAAAGGGCCAAGGATGGGGCAATCACTCGGTTCTCATCTGCTCTGGTGATATCATTGATCAAATGTCCTATCAGAAACAAGAAACAAGATACACGTTAACATTAATTGGCTGAGACTGTAAACTCAACATTCTCTTAACATGAACATTCTCTGAACTGAATTTTTGGATCTAACAGCACACGAGTCTCTGAGACCAAACGTGATGCACATAATTCTCACGCATTCTCATGCTAGTCTCAGCTTGAACTGATAAATTTGTACACTGATTATATCATAATGTTAACATTTCCCTCTGAATTTAGTATCACATGAAATACCAATAACTTTGATGCATGGTATTTGCTTAATCAAAAACTCATACTTTGAAACTTTAGAGCACCCTGACCATTCCTTTCGAACTTAGGGAAAAAAACAGCAGTGTTAGCCAACAAGACTTCACTCAAAATGGACAAAATAATAGAACCTAAGTTGGACTTCTCTAAATCATCAGTGAGGCTGTGAAATGAGGCCATGAAGTAAATAGTTTCTTGTTTAAATGTGAGATTTTTTAAAACTTATTTTTATTATTATGGATCATCAGTTTTATTGTCCATATGTTGAGGAAGATAATTTTCTTGTGTTTTTATATCATGTCAATTTCAATCTCAGTCACCAACACCTGTGTCAATTTATTTTAGTCAAAAATGTATTTCTTGAATACAATGACAATGACATTTTGCCAGGCAGTGCACCACAGCACTTGATAATGCCATGCCAACCTGTCTGTTTATGCTTTCTCCCATATAGTGTACTTGCCCACAGGACCATTAATAATACCCGTTTTCACATACTGTGCTAATCAGGGTATGGGTGAATGGAAAAATGTTTTGTTCAGTCACGTATGTCTATTACCTATGCACTAATTTAAATGGGCAAAAACTCATCTATAACCAACAGTGGGTTCCTGAAAGCTCTACTCAAAACCTTTACAGTATCCTCTGTATATTTAACATGTTATCTATTTTTAGTGTACTGAACAATAATAAAATGACAGGATATTCACAAATCATCACAAAAAGGTCATCACAGGTATTCCAGGTAAAAAGCTGAAACAGCTGATATTTTCCATGAAAGTACAGCGCTATAAAATAAGACCTGTTCCCTAAAGGATTTTTGACATTTTAAGAGTCAAACAAGGAAAGAGAACTAATTTAGTCGATGGAGAACAGCATGCATTCTGATCAAATGTATTCTTGCGTCCAACCTCTTCAAATATTGTCTCAATGTACATAGCATTCTGAACTATTGCTTAAACATCAGCAAAGGTAAAAACAAGCTAAGAATGGTTTGCAGTAGGGTGCAGAGCAGGGACTGAGACGAGGCTTGTTGACTTGAGAGCTTGTCCTCTGGGACCTCATCTTCTCTCTCAGCAGTATAATGACAGCCCTGTGACAATTCCCCGGGGAGGGCTAAAACACTACTCATTAAAGCTCCTATTCTGCCCTCAAAGTTCTTAGAAACCATAACTGAAAAAAGGTCCCATTTTATCTTATTTAGCAGATGCACGATTTGAGAGAGAAAAAGACAGCAAGCGAGTAAGACGGAAAGAACCTGAGAAAATGTGTATTTAAACAGAAATTACTTTTTATTATATATACTAGTAAGGACATTTCTGCCATCTAAACCAAAAGTAAGCTGTTTATTTTCTTTTGGTTTTTGCTAAAGACATGTTTTTCACATGTGGCCCCCACAGACATTCAGATAAAGAGCAGGTTGATAGATGCCATTATTTCTTACATGAAACATAATATGACAGTGTTTATATCTAGGAAAGATGTTTATTTTGATGGGGTGGACCAGTGAGGACCAATGGAAAATGTTACATAAAAGTCTACATTCTTTTGAGTGATCTAACTAGGATTAATATTCCAAAAATATGGTTGCATATTTTAGGGAAATTCCTTTTGCCCTGTTATCACCGTTAACGTTTTACACTATGTGGTGTGCATAGACCTGACAAGCAAGCTAAGCACCAATTTAGCTGCCAATTGAAAGTCTCTGAGTGTTTAGGGCATAAAAGAGGATCTGCGCGTCTGTCAGCCGACTGTCGCCTGACAACTGCTGAGCACAGCTGTGCTCCAAATATATTAGACAAATGCATACTTAGCAACATTGAGTTCAATAGAAAAGACAACTAAGAACAATAATACGCTATATAATATTTAACCTCACGTGTTGCATGTAACAATGCAAATAATGCAGTACTAAACCCCATATGTTCCTTTTATAAGGCAAATCTGTTATGCAGAGAGGTATATGGAGAAGTCAACAGGTGTTGGAGGAAAAGACATTCCCTTAATCTTTTTTCACGGTTTCTTTCTTTTGAATGACTACTTAATAGTCTACATGCATAAAGTAATACGAAATTCAGGATGCTGTGTCACCTTGTGCATTTGTCTTCAGAGAAAATAAAAAAAATATTGAACACATTCACATGTTTCATTGAAGTGTCATGTACATGAGTCAGAAATAAATTTGAATAAATAACTCGTTACCATCCCATAAGAGTAATCACTTAGACAGCAATAATATTAAATGGAGCTCAAACTGAGACTGTCTGCTTCTCCTTTTTTTTTTTACTGATATCATGTGTCTGCTATAAACTTTCAATAGAGAGCTCAACAATGTTCTCAAACTATGCTGTATTAAATTAGACTATCTGCTATCAAAAGTCAAATATAACCGAGAACTCCACTAAAAGTCTCTTGTGCACTGAAAGAGCAACAGTATTTTCAAATAAAATGTAAAAATGTATAGCACAAAACAGTTGCATAAAATATGTCAGCAAATATATGTGCGACCTTACCTAGTCATTTGTAAATCACGAAAAAGTTATCATATATAAAAATATCCCACGAATGGTTTTACTATCCACACTGTCTTCTCATTGATCTTGTTCTCTCCACGAAACGTATTAATAGTATTTGATATGAAGTATAAGAACAAAAATCTCCACGTTTCTCCTCTTGTTTGCGGCGTGCGGTAACTCGTGCTGTTTCTTCTAGGCTTCAAACCCATTTAAACAAGACGCAACAGCTAGCCACGCCCCCTCCCTGAAAACCGCCAATCCGATGAGAGAGGGAGAGTTTCACGCGCGGATAAAACAATCTTCCTCAGCAGTCTGGAGAGCAAGTGAAACGCGGACCCACATCGGCTTGCTAATTAAGGCTTGAATCCCCCCGAAGGAAGCCAAAACAAACGCTTGTGGTGTCTAAAAGTATGTATTCTTTCATAAGTATGCATATGTGTCAGCAGAATTTTTAAACAACCTTTTCACCACAGTGACATTACAAGTTAGTCACAATGAGCTGACAAACACGCCGCGTTCGCCTGAGGAGGTAACCATAGCAACAGTACGATTTTTCTCATTGTCTTACGTTACTTCGACAAAACATTCGGTCATAATCTGTTTACAAGTCATCAATATAATCGCAACGTGATTTAAAACGACAGTTGGCGACCCGTGTTTGTGAGTGAGGAACATTTCTAACTGAAAAGTAAAGTACACTGAAAAAAAAATGGTGTATTTCTCACACTGACCTCAGATATTTAACTATGAGTAACGTTAATACGGCCAAGTGTTAAAGAATGAGCATTTCCTGAAACGTCCATTTCCTGAAATAAAATAGAATTTAAAGCTTAGTTTGTGGTTTATGGTAACGTTGCGTATTTCTTCTCAACACATACTATAGGAATCGCACATTATATGTCTCATTTGTTGATAGTGAGTCCAAAGTCAATGTGAATGTCATTTATCAGGCTCCAGACAATTCTTTAAAGATATTTTGAAGATGAAGATATTTTGTTTCAATAAACAAATGCTGTATAAAATAATTTAACGTGAGATACTGTTGTGGCCTTTAGTCTGGGAATATGCCAGTGAAACAAAAAACAGTGAAGTAATACAGTTTGGAAACGTGCTATTCTGGGTTTTGCTATTATGAAATATGATCAACAAATAGTATAGGGTCCGTTGTTTGCATTTCCACAGGACTACTCTGAATTTATTCAGGTATTGTTTGTCTTCCAGCATCTTATATAATGACTGCATTGTATTGTTGGGAATCAGTAATTCAAGACCATTGTGAACGATCATTTATTGTTCAATCAGAGGAATGTTTCTCCTTCTCTTTATAAGTGGTCCAATGAAAACCCAGCAGTAAGTGTTCCACAGGCCTTTGCCCTTCCCGGCTGCTGCGTGTCACACACTGCTTACTTACCATAACTAATGAGCCGTGTTAAACTTTTATTTGTGAAGCTGTTGCAGAGTGCTTATTTTAGTTACTTTCTTGTTCAAGTCTATAAATAATACAGACTATTTATAGGCGAAACGTGGTGCATGAGCTGTCAGGCCTGTTTACCTTTCAGCCTAATTTGAGGCAATGCTTGGACAGCACTGCATCTAACCACAAGGTGGAGGGCTGGAGACTTCACTTTCCCAGGAAAACCTCCTGGGACCCAGCAGTTTTATTCACTGTAGTAGACATATGTTTTTTTGTTAATATCTCTGAGGCCATACATGCCACTGTTTTGAGTCCTGGTCTGTTTTGAAGAGGACATCCTGAACTTTTTTGTCATGCCAAATTATTGGATGTGGTCAATGGGATAACATCAGTGTATGGTTTAACAATTTTAAAATGTGATTATATATATAACAACAGTAATTTAATCAAATAAACATTTATAAAAATTCTCTAAAAAATCATTTTATATATACATAAACTGTTTAATATATTATATCATAAATATTAAAATATATACATTTATATTAAAGGTGCAATAGGTGATTGTCTTCAGAAACATTTTTTGTTATGCTGGTTGAAAGTCTCTTCACATCCCGATAGCAATCATTAGGTTAAGTGGTCTAAATGTATTTGACTGTATTTATATATTCTGTGGAAGGTGTAGGATCAAGAAATTTTCGTCTAATCAAAACATTCGGTCCGAGCGTTTTAATATGCTGTCCTACCTGCCTGTCAACATATGTATTTGCATACCTCTG